GCCATCAAGTGGACCAAGCTGCTAAAGTTAAGGTAGCTCAAGTGGATCTGGACTGGCAACATAAGGGCAAAAAGTTTATGGCTCGATGGGCCCATGATACCTCAGGCCATCAAGGAAGAGATGCAACATATAGATGGGATCGTGACCGAGGAGTGGACTTAACTATGGACATTATATCACAGGTTATCCATGAATGTGAGACCTGTGCTGCCATCAAGCAAGCTAAGAGGTTGAAACCTCTTTGGTATGGAGGGTGATGGTTAAAGTATAGATACAGGGAGGCCTGGCAGATCGATTACATTACACTCCCACAAACTCGACATGGCAAACATTACGTTCTCACAATGGTAGAAGCAACTACTGGATGGCTGGAAACATATGCTGTGCCCCATGCCACTGCCTGGAACACTATTCTGGGCCTTGAAAAACAAGTCCTGTGGCGGCATGGCACCCCAGATAGAATTGAGTCAGATAATGGCACTCATTTTCGAAATAATCTCATAAACACCTGGGCAAAAGAACATGGCATTGAGTGGATATATCACATTCCCTATCACGCACCAGCCTCTGGGAAAATCGAGCAGTACAATGGGCTACTAAAGACCATGCTGAGAGCAATGGGAGGTGGAACTCTTAAACACTGGGACACACATTTAGCAAAGGCCATGTGGTTAGTCAATACTAGAGGATCTACCAAGCCAGGCTGGCCCTGCCCAGTCCAACCTTCTGCGTGCTGTAGATGGGGATAAAGTCCCAGTAGTGCACCTTAACAACATGCTAGGAAAGACTGTCTGGGTTATTCCCACTTTAGGTAAAGGTAAGCCCATACGTGGAATTACCTTTGCACAAGGACCTGGGTGCACTTGGTGGGTAATGCAGAAGAATGGGGAAGTCCGATGTGTGCCTCAGGGGGACTTAACTGTTAGGTGAAAATAGCCAATAAATTGAACTGTATTAGGTCAATCACCAAACAGCCCTATCAATGCATCGCTATGATTGACACACATTATATAACAGCATCACACTCATGAAGGAACACATGAACTCAAAGTCAGGATTGGTTTCAGCAAATGATGCCCAGTGACTCCCATAGACCTATGAATACAGACTGGTGTCAGATGCATCAGCCACCAGCTCCAACTGTAACAGGGACTGCATGCCTTCCTCCTGCAAGGTCACCTGGTCACCTATTCCCTACTGACCAAGAATCACCCTTCCTGCCTTAAAAGACTATTATGACAGATGGAACGCAAAGTTATGAACCAAATGAACTTATGATACATTCTGCAGTGATGGCCCAGTGACTGAGGGAATGCTGTCTGTGTGCACATGCCTAAAACCCAGGAGAAAGGATAACGATCAATTAGACTGTATTGGGTAATAGTGGAACTTGAGCATAACGTAAATGATATGGAATAAGGGGTGGATACTGTCTTGCTTTGGGCTGAAATAGAGTTAATATTCCTTTTCAGGGACTAGATGAGTGCTGTGTTTTGGATTTAGCTTTGGGTTTGGTAGGAGGAGAATGCTGATGGCACACTGATGTTTTCAGCTGCTACCGAGACTTCAAGGACTCTCCGACTCTCCATGTCCTGCCCGTGCGCAAGGGCACAGGGAGCAGGGAGGGAGCACGGCCACAGCACCTGACCGTAACTGGCCAGTGAAATATTCCATATCATGGCACGTCATGCTCACTATATAGAGGAGGGGTGGTTGGGAAGGAGATCTCTCGCTTCCAGGATTGCGACTGTGGGATCTTGGTATCTCGGGGTCGCTGGCCGGGAATGGGCTGGGATTTGTTAGTGGGTGGTGAGCAATTACGCTGTACATTGCCTGTTTATATATTTCTTTTTGTTTTCCCCCCTATCATCGTTATTGTTCTCGTTTTATTGCTGTTATGAAACTGTTCTTATCTCAGCCTGCGAGTCTCCCTTCACCCCTCTAATCCCCTCCCCCATTCCCAGGTGGGGAGGGGGAAGGGAGGGTGACCAGCTGTGGGGGTTGGCTGCTGACCAGGCCCAAACCAAGACACGTGGATTTGTTAAACAGAGGAGGGCTAGACTGGGTTAACCTCTGTGCTCACCACCAAGAAGACCTTTATCTCAGCTGTGGGCTGCAACCCCATAGGCATGAGAGGTGGGAGTATATGTTATACCGGACCTCTGCTAATCATCCTGATACGGTTCGCTCGAACAGCGGCAAATCCATGCAACAAGTGTTTTATTGTTGTGTCCAACATTAGAGTGTGGAAAAAAGGTTGGATTTTTCTTCCTTTGTGCTATTGCAGGCTTGTGTTTTTACCATGTTTAATACCCTGTTTTATACGGCTAATATCTCACATCATTGAGGGGATGCAAATAGCAGTTATGCTGGTAAACCCTGAAATGGCTGCATCAGCTGGTGCCCACAAAGTAATATTAAGAATGAGACTAATTGTTAGTAAGCTCAAGCAAAATATGGTACTAGAAAGAAAACGGGTGGTTTGTGATAAATAACAGAAGAATTCTGCTTTTGCTAAAACTAATTAAACAATTAATTTTATTGAGTCAGGCTAAAGCTGTTATTAAAATTAGTGTTGCTAAAATTATAACAGTTAAGCAAGGCTTTTTTGGTCACAAAGTTAGGCATGTGGTCGTGCATCGTGGGGAGTTGGGCAAGTGAGAGGATGGGGAGTGGTCTGTGGTTAGGTGTCATGTAAAGGGGAACTTGGGTGGGGGGGGCTGGGGAGGAATGGAAGCCAGCAGAAAAGGGTTAAGCGAAGAACTCCTGATGGAGAGAGACCTGGACTTCGTGTCGTACCCCCCCCCCCCCCCCCCCAGAGGGCAGTGGAAAAGTACTGAGAGAGACAGCCTCGGAGAAACAAAGAAAAAGGAGCTCTGCAGGTGTGAAGAGGTGAAAACCCGCCGTTTTCGCTCAACTAATGATATCTCCTGGTTGCTCTATGAAAATAATCCCCTGTTGGGGCAGGGGGTGCCCCATTGCCCCCAGCGCTGTGTTCTTTGCTCCGCTGACTCTGTCCCCAATAAAACATGTTTTTGCTAGACGTGAGCTTGTTTCTCACAGGTAAACGTAGCAGACCGGCGGAGAGGTGGAGGCTTCTCGGAAAAGCCGTGACTATTCCTGCCTTGCAGGCACCCAGAGCCCGGGCTTCTGTCCCGGGGCATGCCCGCGGGGCGCAGGGACCCCCCCCCCCGCGCTGGGGCACAGAGAATGCCTGCCTCTGGGGGCTCCCCTGGGCTCAGGGGGTTCATTCCCGATTTGGGGGACAGCGGGAGGAGCCCGGCCCGGCTGCGCCCGGCAGCCAGCGAGGGCGGGCGAAGGCAAACGGCCCCGGCCCGCTCTGGCCAGGCCCGGCCCGACCCAGCGCTCCCCTGGGGCCCACGGGGAGCGGCTGGGGAGGGCGGCCCCGCCCCCGCGCTGCTCCTCAGGCCCCGCCCCCGGCCGGCCGGGACTGCCGGGCCGCCTCCGGCCCCGCCCATTGGCTCAGCCGTGGCCAATGGCGTGGCTGTTGCCGGGCAGGGCAGCCCGGGCCCCTCCTCCCAGCGCCGCCCCGCGCCCCCTCCCCAGCGCGCGGGGCCTGAGCGGGCCGGGCTCGGGGCGGTTTGTCCGTCCCTCAGAAAGGGAGCGGGAACAAACCCCGCCGGCAGCCGCTTCCCCAGCGCCGCTGTGCCCGGGCTCAGCCGCGCTCCTCCCTGCCCGGCTCCTCGGCCGCCTCTCCCCCTCGAGCGAGCGCCGCAGCGGGACGGGGCACGGGGCTGCGGGCGCCTCGTCTCTGCCGCCCCTTCCTCCTCAGGCCGTTTCCCTGCTCCCGCCTGGGCCCCGCAGGCCCCAGCTGCGGCCAGAGAACCTGCTGCTGCCTGGGCTCCTCTCCAGGGGCCGCAGCTCCTGCCAGGGTCCCGCTCGGGCCTGGGCTCTCCGCGGGCTGCAGCTTCCTGCTGGCGCTGGCCGCCCGAGGGGGACGGCGTTGGTGGCTGCGTCCTCTTCTCGGCAGCCATTTCCCAGCAGCGCAGGCTCCGTGAGGCTGGCCGGGAGAGCCCCCGGGGGGGGCACTCACCCGGGCCGAGCCCTGCTCCAGCCCGCCACCCGGCCCATGAATTAAGGAAGGTGGCAAAGAGTCCTGGGCCCAGCCCTGACCGCTGGATGCCACCGCTGGTTCCTGGCCTCCAACTACGCCCGGTGCCACTGAGCAGCACCCTCGGCCCGGCCGTCCAGCCTGTTGCAGTCCCGCTCGGTGCTGGCTCATGCAGCCCATTGCCGTTCCAGTGACTAGAACTGGAACTTTAAGAGAATGCAAGGTGGGCACATGCAAGCCCACAGCTTTCAAAACCCCATACCAAAAACTTGTAGTACTGGCTATTTCCACCAACTGCCTCAAATCCTACAGAGAAGGAAGGAAACACCCCGTAAATTACACATGCAAGGGCAACAAGTGTTTTTAACTCTGGCTTTGGCTTTTCTGACTGCTCGTTCCCAATGAGTGCTGGTTTTGCAAGGCGATCCCAAAAGCAGAACACGGGTTAAAACTCTTTCTCGAGGGACCTTTGGGCAGGGGGGCCAGCCAGCAGAGCTGCCCGAGTCTCTGGAAAGTCTCTCTGAGCTCCTCCTGGGCAGAGGCAGCACTGGGAGGAAGCCCCAGGAGCTGTGGGAGGGAACAGCCAAGGGCCTCCCAAAGGCTCTCCTGGAGGGCTGCAAAGGCAGAAGGGCCAAAGGTGGAGAAATGGGATGGATCTAGGTGGGGTGCTTGGAGAGGGAGCGGTGCTGCAACTGTGAAGAAAGCTGCAGCTTGTGGGAGGGAAAAGAGATCCCAGAAATAAGTCCACTGTCCATCTGGTGCCCTGGCCACCTCCCCAGAGCTTGCCTTGGTCAGGCAAGGCAGACCCTGTGGTCCCACAGAACCCACCTGCTCGCTGCCGGCCGCCCACTGACTGAGGAAGGAACGGGCGTAGGACAGTGCCGGTGGGGAATAAGCCCTTTCTCCAGGCTGCAAATCCGAGCACCTCCTCTGGGGTTCAGTCATTTTCTTGGAGCCGTTTCTACAACAGAGAGAAGACATAACCAAGATGACAATGGGAAACTTGACTGGTGTCAAAACAAGACCTTGTCTTTATGCCCCTGACATCCTCCATTTCAGAGAAACATAGAATCATAAAATGGTTGGAAGGGAAATTAAAGACTGTCTAGTTCCAACCCCCTCCCATGGGCAGGGGCATCTTCCATCAGACCAGGTTGCTCAAGGCCTTGTCCAACCTGGCTTTGAACACTTCCAGGGAGGGGGCAGCCACAACTTCACTGGGCAACCTCTTCCAGTGAAGGGGTAAATGTTGGAGAATGGCTCAGAGACAAGGGTCCTGAGCCCACCGAGCAATTGTATGATCAGAGCCTGCTCTAGCTGCTGATGCTGGGCCTCACTAGGGTTTGCCTGCAGCTGCTCGCAGCTGCTGATACATGAGGAATGTCAAGGACGCTTCGGCCTTGTGTACCGTGGTGTGTCGAAAACAGGCTAAGGGGAATTGGGAATAGTGGTCTGAGAAACCTAGTGTTATGATAACGGTGGTCTGAGAAACATTGTGTTACGGTACTGTTGTGTATCGAAAACAAGTCAAGAGGAATTAGAAATAGTGGCATGAGAAACTTAGTGTTCTGAGAAGCTTGTGCTGTAAGCTAAATGCAAGTAGGTGGACCATGCGAATACGACCCTTAGAGCTTAAGCCAATCAGCTAGTGACTAGTAGGCATAATTAGTAGAAGAATTATAAAAGGCTGTAACGAAAATCAATAAACTGAAGCCATGCTTTATCACTCATATTGAGTCGGCTGCGTTCTTCCTCCTTGGCTGGGTCCTCGGCTCGCCCAGCCCGGCAATTGGCGCCTGAACAGGGACCCTTGAGAAAAAGGGTCAACCCGGAATAAAGGGTCTCTCGAGAAAAAAGGGACCCTCGTTGAGGCGAGAATAAAGGGATCCTCGAGACAAAAGGAACCCTCGTTGAAAGACCTGGCTGAAGGACAAGGAGCAGTGCGCCGGGGGCAGTGACCGGCGGGCAAAAAGAGCGATCAGAACATCACGTCCTGTGGTGTGTCGTCTCCGGCCTGAACCGATTGAAGTTCACCACTGCAAGGGCTACAAGCTGAGGGCTGCAAGGATATTATAACAGGTATTAAGGTACATGGATTTTGAAGTAGCCCTAGATTTATTACAGAGCTTTTTAGAAAAGCGTGGGACAGATAGTAGTTGCATTAAACAACTAGCTGGTCTAGTGGCAACGGGGAAAACAAAAGCGGTGCTTTAAGGACTATGATCTGTTGTTTGATTAAGAGGAGTGGAGGAGGTATGGAGATATACTGTGGGATATGGTAATAGATGAGGACAAACTTGCTAAGAAATTAATGAAACCTTGGAGGGAGATAATCAATAACATTAAGCGCCATAAGGTTGAGAAAAACTTGGCTGTTTGCTCCAACGGCGCAAGAAGCGGCAGAGAAATCAGGCGGCGCGGGGCGACAGGGGGGAGCGGCTGCCGCCCGAACCTCTGCCCCCCCCCCCCCCTTCGGATGGTTCCGCCCCTGACGGCGCGTCAGCGTCTGAGTCGGAGAGAAAAACGGCGGCTGTGTCCGAATTAAAGCAGCAGGGTCACACACCGGTAAGGGACAGGGACAGAGTCCGAGAGCTTGACAGAAAATTACAGAAGTTGAGCTACAGAGCAGAACTCTGCATTTACAATGACAAGAAGAGGAAGCGCTGCCGGCAGCCCCCCCACACCCACTCCCGTCACCCTCACCAGAACCAGCTCCGCTTTTAGCTCAGCCCCGATGGAGTGGGGGGATTCGGGGTGCCTTGTTAGAAGGGGACTGGCATGCTGCTGGGGCGTTGGCCTGCCCGCTAGTGACAACGGATGGGGGACACCCGGGAACACAACCCCACAAGATTCTCCTCGGGGGGTCTGGAGACTCCTTACGAACTTTAGAACTCTGAACTGCCATCTGGGTGTTTCAACATCAACACTGGTATCAAGAACTTGTTCATGTAGTATCAGATTCATTGTATGTTGTGGGTTCAGTGCAATGTTTAGAACATAGCATGCTGAAACCTGTATTAAGTTCTGTATTGCATACTCTGTTGTTACAATTGCTGACACTTTTAAAACTGTAAGGATGGTTTTCTTGCTACATAAGACTGAATAAGATTGGAACATGGACTGACAGACTGGTTACGAGACTTGGGAATTTGGAAAATGGACTGATGATGGTTGCAAATCTACAAAACTTGGAAATTACTAAGTGGCTGAAAGCTTTGTTGATGCACAGACTGGCAATGCTGATTGTCATTATGATTGTCATGATGGTATTGGGGTCTGTGTGGAAATGCTTTATGAATGCTATGATTCAAACGTTAAAAGGAGTCTGGATTGTCCAAAAAAGAAAAAGGGGGAAAACCTGGTAGGAATTTTTTTGCGGGGGGATCAGGGTTATGCACTGATCCTACAGGGTTTGGACAATCCAGGCTGGGTCTCTGAGCAGAAAACTGCCACATGGTAATCCTGCCCTTGAGGTCACCTGGAAGGGCAAGAAGGAGGAAGTCAAGCGAGTGCTTCCTCCCTGTTTGAATGCCTGGATGCACTAACCACAAAGTAGATTTAGTTTGTTCACGCGTGCTAACGATGCAGACCTATCACAGCACTTCTGGGTGCGTGATAAGTGCCTTTAGCCAGTAGATTGTAAGCTTGCATGTTTAAGTTGTGCCTTGTCATGTATTAAGAAAATCTTTAAATGAACGTTGGTGCAGGCTCTACTCATACAAAAAGAAAAAGGGGTAAATGTTGGAGAATGGCTCAGAGACAAGGGTCCTGAGCCCACCGAGCAATTGTATGATCAGAGCCTGCTCTAGCTGCTGATGCTGGGCCTCACTAGGGTTTGCCTGCAGCTGCTCGCAGCTGCTGATACATGAGGAATGTCAAGGACGCTTCGGCCTTGTGTACCGTGGTGTGTCGAAAACAGGCTAAGGGGAATTGGGAATAGTGGTCTGAGAAACCTAGTGTTATGATAACGGTGGTCTGAGAAACATTGTGTTACGGTACTGTTGTGTATCGAAAACAAGTCAAGAGGAATTAGAAATAGTGGCATGAGAAACTTAGTGTTCTGAGAAGCTTGTGCTGTAAGCTAAATGCAAGTAGGTGGACCATGCGAATACGACCCTTAGAGCTTAAGCCAATCAGCTAGTGACTAGTAGGCATAATTAGTAGAAGGATTATAAAAGGCTGTAACGAAAATCAATAAACTGAACCATGCTTTATCACTCATATTGAGTCGGCTGCGTTCTTCCTCCTTTAGCCTGGGTCCTCGGCATGTTGGGCTTGCCTTGCCTGACAAAGAGCCAGAATTGCCCTGAAGGAAGATGAATCTCTTTCCACAAAGAAATACTTTTGGCTGTTGCTAATGAATGTTTTTTATTTAAGAAGAATGTAACCAATATATTTCTATATAAATACATACTGCTTATGCTGTGTCCATTTTGTCATTTGATTAAAAATCCTTCAGTATGCTTTCCTGTTGCTATTTTGGTTCACAAAGTAGATTCATTCCCTTTACCTGTTAAAACTGTAATAAATCTGCCACTGGGCCACTTGATTTTTTTTTCCACTTGCAGTTAATTTTTAACAAATACTTGGAACAACAGCCTGGGTTTTGTGGTCTCCCAGAAAGCAGATTGAATCGATGAATAGTCTTGAGTTCAGGCATACCGCATCTGCCCAGCTGTGACCTGGAAGAGAATGACCCAGTGCATCTGGAACATCGACTTGAATTCATATGTTTTTCTTCCACGTGTCTGTGAGCCAGGTGCCTGGTTGCACTACAGCGTTCCTCATCAGGGAAGAAACTTTCTCCACACCGCCGCTGGTCTCATTGCTCTGTCTCCATCCAAAGCCCCTTGCCTTTCTCATGTCTATGTCTACCAGTTGGATGCAACGGACCATGGGCTGCAGGGGGCCAGCCCGCCCTCTCGCCGCAGGCTGCAGGGGAGTCTCTGCTCCGGCAGCCCCCTCCCCTGCTCCCCAAATCCCTGCCACACACACAAGCCCAACAGGCCAACCAATGCCAGGACAGCCCGAGGACAGAGATGGGCTGAAAACACGGGCACCGCGAAGCGAGGCCAGCTCAGGCCTCAGCTGGGCGGCAGCAGGAGCGCCGGAGGCCCGGGCAGAGGCCGAGGGCGCAGGCCCTGCCCAGCCTGGGGGGAGCACTGGGGCTCTCCAGCTCTGCCTGCCGGCATGGGCCTTGCCTGCACCCGCCCTTCTCCCGAGAGGGACCAGGCGCAGACGAGCACTGGGGGAAAATGATCATCTTTTATTGGCCTCAGAAAGCACCCACGGCCGAGCGGTGGCCGGCAGCACGATGTTCTCGGGGCAGCTGAATGCCTGGGGCGCCGTCCATGCACCCATCCCTCGCGTGCTGCTCCCTCTGGGGCCTGCGCAGGCTCAGGGCCCACGGCCATCTCCGGGGACCCGCCGGGCGCTGGCAGCGGGGCGCTACTGCTCCTGCTGTCCCGCGATGCAGGAGCAGCAGAACGCCCCGCGCAGAGCCCTGAGCGCCCTCCTGAGGAGGGAGGGCCGTCGGCGCTGAGCCGGGGCGTGCGAGAGAGCAGCGATGCCTGCGGGGGAAGGAGAGTTGTAGGTGAGGGGCTGGGCGGGTGACGGGCAAGCTCCTGCCTGCCCCCCGCCACCAAGGGCTGTCCCCAGGGAGTGGGGGCCGCGGCACGGCCAGCCCCCGTGCGCGCAGTGCTGCCCACCTGGCTCCAGAGGCAGGGGAGATGCTGCTGCGTCTCCTCTGTCATCTGCCGGGTGGGATGTGGCAGTGTCTGTCGGAGGGTTCTGAGGGAATGAAGAAGCCACTTCATCCTCGTGCACCGCCAGGGAGTCAAGGGCTGCGCTGGCCTCTCCTTGCTGGGCTCCAGACATGGGAGACAGGTTTGGATTGTCCTCCTCTTCCTCGGGCGCTCTGGCCAGGGCAGAAGCTGCCGGCTGAGGGTCCATGGGACCCGCTGGGGCAGGAGATGCGTCCTGCAGGTTGCCAGCTGCCTCTCCTGCTGCCTCTGGGCCCATGATGCTGGTCCTGCCAGGCCCCTCCTGGGGACAAGTTGGGAGGGGGACGAGCTCCAGGATAAAAGGGTTGATACAGATGCTGCGGATGGTAATGGAGGACGACTCTTGGTACATCTCTTCGTTGCCGAGATCTTCCTTCTTAGCCAAGGCCCCTTGCTTGTCCTCTGGCACTTGCAGAGTGGGTTTCCTGAGCTGAGCTAGGCTGTTCTCATTGCAGCCTGGGCCACTCCTCTCCAGCTCCTCCAGAGGGTCCGTCCTGACGGAAGGGATGGCCAGATAGACCGCAAAAACCCTGTCCTGCATGGGCAGCAACCTACTACTGATGTAGCACTTGATACGCGTCACCGGCATTGCCAGATCATGCTCTGATGCTTGACCCAGGCACCTTGGCACGACGTCCCTGCATGGAGAAGCTGGCACAAGGGATCTGTCAGATGCATCGGTGCCCCCACCTCCATGAGGACCAGGCGTGGGCTGAGCTGCGGGGTTCTTGACGCTGTTGGCTCCCTTGTCCTCAGCTGTTCTTGCTGCTGCTGCCTCCCCCATGACTTGTGCATGGTCCCGCTGTGCCACCGGCTGCTGGCTGGGTCCCTGGATCGCATAGAGAGCCTTGTTCAGGACCTCAGTTACAACACACCGTGCTGCTTCCATCAGAGCTGTGACATGGGCAGCGGGCCTGCTTGGGGCAAGCCCCCAGCTCTCCACGCTCCAGGCTGTTCCCTGATCATGGCAGATGCCCCAAGAAGATGGGACCAGCTGTTGGTGGCCACTGGCTGTGGTGCCACTGGTGGTTTCCCTGATGCTGGCAGAAGATGTGGAGGGTGCTGCTGGCAAAGGAGGCAGCGTGGGGCAGGTGCTGGCAGCTCCATCTGGATGAGCTGCAGTGGGCGCATGCCCAGGTGCCGCTGCCTTCCTGGAAACAGGCAGCAAGATTTCAAGATGGTCTGTCTGCTTCCTTGTTACCCTGCTGTGAGGCAGGGTCACCCTGAATGCCAGGCTGTCCATCTGCAAGAGAAGCCAAGGAGAGAGGCTGCGTGAGTGCGGCCCTTGCCCCTGTGCCCCCCATGTCCCCACTGGAAGAGCTCCTGCAGCTGGGCTCCCCTGCCAGCCCCCGGGCAGTGCTCGGAGAGTTCTCTCTGCTGGGAGACCCTGGAAGTAGGGCTGCTCCCTGCTTTGCTGGCACAAGTTTGTTAGCTTGGCAGCAGAGAGATGGAAGGAGAGGGAAAGAAAGACCGGGGCCAGCCCCATGAAGCCACACGCTGGCAATCTTTCACGGGAGCTCTGGCCAGGGCAGAAAAGCTTTGTGCAGAGCCCCAGACACTGTCTGAGGAGGGATGGTCGTTGCTGGCCAGCTGGGGCATGTGAGAAGGCAGCAGGTGCCTATGGGACAAGTAGAGCTGGAGCCAAGGCACTGGGTGGGTGAAGCTGCCCAGCTCAGTGTCCGTGGGACCCTCTGGGGCAGGGGACATGCTCTGCAGGTCACCAGCTGCCTCTGTGCCTGTGCTGCTGCTGGGCCAGCATGGGGGTCCTGGAAGAGCTCTGGGACCAAGGGGTTGATGCAGGTTACCATGTCGTCCCCTTGGGACAAGCTCTTTGTTGCTGACATCTATCTCCCAGCTTGTCCTCCTCAGTGGCCCCCCAACCTTGGGCCTTGCTGCCCTTGGCTGCCCAGACTTCCATTGTTCTTGCTGCCCAGCTTGCCTCAACCATGCAAAATGGCCATGCCCTTGCTCAGCCGGCTGCTGGCCGGGTCCCTGCTTGGCAGTTGCAACCTTGCCCACAACCTCCCTCACGAGGTGCTGGACTGTGTCCTGCAGAGCCATGGCACAGACCTTGGCACTCACCTGCCTGGATCTGATACTGAGGAGCCATCCTGGTGCCGACTGGGGGAAACACCGCTCCTCGCCTTCCTGCTGCTGCTGGAGCTGCCCTGGCCTTGCGTTCCTGGCCAGGGAAGCTGGCGCAGGGGCCCTGCCTGCAGCACCAGTGTCCCCATGTGCAAGGGGACCAGGCACGGGCAAAGCTGAGGGGGCCTTGCCACCGCTGGCCGCCCAGACCTCGGCTGCTCTTGGTGGTGCCGCCTCAGTCGCGCTGTGTGCCCAGTTCCACTGGGCTGCCGGCTGCTGGCTGGGTCCCCGGCTCCCCAGGAAGACCTTGTCCAGGACCTCAGTCACAAGGCCCTGGGCTATCCCCTTCGCAGCTGCAGCACGGCCAGCGGAGCTGTGTGGGGCAGGCCTCCAGCTCTCCACACTTGCGGCTGTGCCCTGGCCATGGCGGATGCCCCAAGAAGATGGGATGAGCTGTCGCCGGCCACTGGCTGCGGTGCCGCTGGTGGTTTCCCTGCTGCTGACAGGAGATGTGGAGGGTGCTGCTGGCAGAGGAGGCAGCCTGGGGCAGGTGCTGACAGCTCCTGCTGGCTGAGCTGCGGTGGGTGCGTGCCCGGGTGCCGCTGCCTTCCTGGGGACAGGTGGCAAGCTTGGACAACGAGCTGTCTCCTCCTGCACCACCTTGTTGCGGGGCAGGGTCACCCTGTGTGCCAGAACATCCATCTGCAAGAGAAGCCGAGGAGAGAAGGCTGTGTGAGCACGGCCCTTGCCCCTGCGCCCCCACGTACTCCCACCACTGAAAAGCTCCTGCGGCTCTGCTTCCCTGCCAGCCCCTGGGCAGTGCTCAGCCCCGCAGGCGGCTGCCGCCCTGCTCCCAGAGCCGGCTGGGGTGAGGGCTGGTCCCCCCGCAGCCCATGGTGACTCCCGGGAGCAGCGCACAGGGCGCTCAGCTTGCTATGGGTCTGGGCCCACCGGTCCCCTCCTGCACACCCCACCTGCTCATCGGCAGCTCCTGGGGTCGGGAAGGCGTTCGGCCCCGTCTCCATCTCCCTACCTGTGCACGGTGCCTTGCGGTGTCCTGCGAGCTCTCTGGGCAGGAGAGCAGTGGCAGCCTGTCCCCATGGAGGGACAAGGCCTGGCTCTGGCTGCCCTGCGGCACTGCCTGTGGCTGCCTGAGGCCCACCTGTGACCAGGAGGAGGAGGAGGAGGAGGCATGGGATGGAGGCGGCTGCCTTGGCACAGCGGCCCCCACAGCGCCGGCAAGGCTGGCCCTGGCACCAAGGCAGCTCTGTGCGGCCCCGTCCCACCCCCGGCCTCTCCCTCCTGCCCCGTCCCTCACCTGGCGCCTCTCCTGCAGGCTCGGCAGCCCCTTGGCGGGCCGGGAGCGGGCGTTCGCCTCCTCACCCGTGGGCATCTTTGGCGACCTTAGCCAAAGACCTTACACGAGCACCCAGGGGAGACGCTACCTCCTGAGGGAGCTGCTCTCCTGGGGGAGGGCACCCCAGGGCTCTCGCTCCTTAAATACCCTCATGGTCACCCTGCGGGGGGGTGGGGGTGGCCCATGTCACAGTGGCCTCTGGGGGTGATGCGGCCCCCGCCTCACAAAGCCCTGGCGGTGCCCATGGAGACGCCCACGCCGGGGACCGGCTGGGACGGGCTGTGCCCGGCGCGGGGCAGCCCCGGCTCTCCCCTCACCGAGCCCCCGGCCGGCCTGGGCCAGCGCCTCCCACGTGCGCCCGGTGCCAGCGGGCTCTGCAGAGCTGGGTCCTGTGTGCAGTCGGCAGCTCTGGGCGCCAGCGCCCTGGGCCGCGTCCCCAGGCGCTGCTCCCACACAGGGCCCCCGGGCCTGGGGACGCTCCGGTGGGCGCCCGCGTAGAGAAAGGCAGGGGAGGCTCGCAGACCCGGTCGCGGGTGTGGACCTCCCCACAGCGACCTCCAGGGATTTGTGATGGGCTGGTGGCATCGTGCCCAGAGGCCATTGGGCATCCTCGGGGTGCTCCCGGGAGACGCCCTGGGTAAGAGCGCTGCCACCAGGCTCTTCTGAGGGAAAGCTAAAACTTTTTCTCTTGTTTGGAGCAAAGAGCTTGTTTATAGTAGCATCCTAGTTGGTCAGCATTTTCTACTCGTATTATTCTCTTCATTTCACTCACATAGTTTAGTCAACTGCTAGGCAGAATTAATAACAAGGTGTTTTGAAATATGCAACTTCTCCCTGAGAAAAAATTGAAGTAGACCTTGAGACGGTTCATTAAGCTTCCTGAGTACCCCTGATAACAAGGGCCCAAGACGACAGTGTCAAGATTAGCACTGGCAAATTAGTTAAAACTGACCATCTTGGAGCATCCCAGGGCCAAAGAACAGATGAGCTAACTCCACAATTGTATTTGGGCATAGGAAAACCAAAGTTCAATCACTGGACAGGGCAAGGAAGACCATGAACCACCACCAGAGGGGGAAAAGCCCCTAACCCTAATTTTATCACGTGTGCTCGGACAGTGTAGATAAATTCTAGGAAATCTTCTGTGTGTGCAGATTAGTTCCCAGAAATCCGCTGAATACGTATAACCTCACAGCGTAGGTTCTCTGTGATTGCACCTTTCCGTTGGAGCCCTTGTGGTGGAGCGAGCCCCAGTGCTGCCCAGCGCTGCAGATAAAGAATACCTGCTTAACAGTTTTACTGGATTCCAACTGTTGAGTGAATTTTTGTGTTTCAGTCTGGCGACCCAGGTGGGACCCTCTCCACCCGACTGCAGGACCTGTTGAGATTGGGACTCTCTTGGGTAACCCCGGTGATTTTTTTCCCGAGAGACTCCTGTCCTTGATCGGATCGCTGTGGGGATGGACAAGGACCATCTAAAATAAAGGCATTCTTTTTGGAACTGTGTTTGGGGACCGGTCCATTTGGGAGCTACCCGTAAGTCGTTTTGTGTAGTGCAGGGTGAGCATATATCGGGTTGCTAGCACCTTAAAGTTATATCTGGAATTCTGTGTGCCTGCAATTGCCTGCAAGGTTCTGGTTGTTTAGGAGTTTGGGGGACAGGCTTTTGCAAGAAACCCGTGAAGAATTTGCAAGCAAAAAACCCATGAATTTATGTGGCTCTGCCTGTAACTTTGGGCATATTACTGCAGTAGTTGTTGCAGTTCTTTCAGGCACTGTCTAGTAATTCTGGACGCCACAACGTTGTGCTTATAAACACAGCCTTGTTTTGGGGGTTAATTTAAATATGCATGCTTAGTGCTATCTTGACAGTGCATCCTCCTCCATTTCTGGTCGGATGGCAGCCTCTTCTGGTGGTGTAACGCTGCCCTAAAATGAGAGGATAGATGCTGCTAGCATCAAAGATCAAATCAATACCAGTATGTGGGTATAAAGAAAGAATGGCCCTGCTGTTCTACCATAGAAAATTAACCAGGCCAATTAGCATTCTGTTCCTTCAGGCTGGAAACATTGCAGAAAGAACTGGTAGAGTGGTGAATGTTTGGGAATGATGAATGTGTGCAGGGATGGTGGAGAGTCCTTCAAAAACGCGTTACTTGCCTTGTAGTATGTTCTTCAAGGTAAATGGATGAAGAAACCATTGTGTGGTAATCTGGAGTATCTCCTCGTACTTCCTCATCTTCAGGAAGGTACGTGCCTGTGCTTGCAAGGCTGGTGGTGCTCTAGTGTTGGGGGAGACAAAATGGAAATGCAGGCTAGGCCTTGGAGCAGGCACCTCAGCCTGAACACAAGTACTGAGAGGCTCCTGCTAAGTCGACCCTGGGAAAAGTAGAGTTAATGTTTCTCTTTGGTAATTAGAAGAGTGCTGTGTTATGAGAAAAATGCTGATGAGCACACTGATGTTTTCGGCTGCTGCTGTGAAAGAAGCAAGCAGGAAGACTGCCAGGACTGCGTAATTAGCGCGTAACCACCTGACGTTGTTAAGCTGGTAGGAAAATACTGTAACTTGATGGAAAATCGCTGTAACTTACGAAAGGTATATAAGCAGCCTGAAATAAAGCATCTCAGCATCACCCATGATCTGAGCCCGTGCCTCAATACGCCACAAATGGTGCCCGAACAGGGACCGACCGGCTCCTGGGCCTGAACTTGACTCCAGTGGCGTAGCCTGACTGAACGCAAGGATCCGGTGGGGAGCACCGCAGAAGTCCGTACGGCATAATCGCCTGAACTGACAGGTGAGCAGTCAGGAACTAGGGGGAACCAACCATCTCAGGCTGAAGAGGCGGTGTTAGAGACTTAAGCAGCTTTTGAAAAAGCATGACTGTAAATACAAAGAATTTGATTTAAGGCTAATGCTTAAATGGATGAAAACCACTAGCCCCGATATAACTAGCACATTGGGTTTTGACTGGGATATCTGGGATCAAGCTGGGGTTAAACCATGGGACTCAGCTACTCAGAATAATGCTCTTGCTAAAGATCTGTTATCCATCTGGTGAACATCTTTGAGATACTTAAAAAGCACACAGGTTCTAAAGCCGTATCAGCGCCCACAGCACCTGCGCTGTCAACTGAGAAGAACACGAATGATGATGATCCATTAGATCCCCGTCCAGTAGAACCTGAGCAGGAGCCTGATCTTTATCCTCCAGACCAGCCTCTGGCTGCAGCAGCCACTGGCAGTTTTGATCTTAGACGTCATTGGGAAAAAATCCATAGGGAGGCTGCAGAGGCTGGAGACTCTGATATTGCAGGAGCATGAAGTGTCTCAGAACCGGGAAGAGATTTTGGGACTCGGACTGGGTAAAAATGGTATCATGAGAAGCGAGGGTGGGGGATGCCCACCACCAAGACACCGAGAATCAAGAGGACCAACGGGACACCGCTGCATCCATCAGGAGGTTTACATTCTGGGATTTTGAAACCCCTGTGCTTGCACGTGCCCCTCTTGCTTGCCAAGCTGCGGCACGGGCTGCCCAGGGAGCGTGTGGGGTCTCCCCCCTTGGAGATGCTCACCAGCCCTCTCTGCGCATGGTGAAATGGGATATTAACCAAATTTGGTATTATGCTTGCACGAGACAAGATACATTGCTTGTATTGCTCTGCCTCTATTTCCTGTTCAAAACAGGGCCCCCTTTCCTTTCCTTAAGTAAGTGTGTATCAGCAAAAGATCACCTCACAACCAGCACAAACCCGCTCTGCGGTTTAGCCCGGGTCCAGGAGGCGACAGAGACTGCGCAGGTAATTCAGGATGAAAAGTTCAGCACTGAGGAAGAGGAGATACTTCCTCCCACGACCACTGCCCAGCACTTCACGACCCCTGCCCAGGACCAAAGGAACTCACTGTGCAGCCGCAAGGAGGAGGAGACCTAATTATAATAAGAAGGGAGGGTAGGCGGGGATAGGTTGTGAATATGTATAGACACCTCATGAATATGCAACACTTCGTAACATAAGCAAGGCGGGAGGGGCGGGGGGGGGGGGCACAGGCTTGTTGTGGCGGAGCGATCCCCCATGTGCCCGGCGCTGAATAAACATACCTGCTTTACAACCCTCAGTTGTGAAGTCTTTCATCCGTAAATCAGTTTGGCGACCCAGATGGGACCTTCTCTGCTCGGCTGCCGGGACTGCTGAAGGGTGGACGTCCTAGGTGCACCCCGAGCCTTTTCTCGGAGGATCTCCACTCCCAGCTGTCCACTACAGGAGCAGACAAGGACCGCCTGGACTATGGAAAGTTATGTTTAAAAATTGTATATGAGTTGTTGGTAAGACGCGCAGGGACGCCTGGCGCACAACTTAAAACTCAAGTAAGGAACTGGATTAATTGAGGTAGTGCGCACAGGGAACGGAATTAATTAAAAGGGGTAATAAGACCTGGGGTTCATGGGAGTGTCGGAGACCACCTCAGCAAACTGGATGAGTGGTTGTTGGGGTTCATGGGAGTGTCACCGACCACCTTGGGTTTGTTGAAATTGTAGTCTTTTTTCTTCCTCTTTTGTTCTCTTCTTTCTTTTGTTCTCCTTTTGAATTCTGTTTGAAAACTTTGGAGTTTGTCTAATTAATGAACTGTATTTAGGTATTTGTATATATTGTAAAAAGCATTGATCTTTGTATAAATCGGAGACAGAGGAGTGAATCCCTTCTCCGTTAGTTTGGATTAGAACCCAGTGATTATTTGTGTGAAAGGAATGAGTGGTTGGAGCGCGGAAATAGTTTATATTTGTTAAAAACTGTATGTAACCCCCTCAGACAGCCAGCTGCACTAGATTGGGAGCAGCCAGCTGATCCTGTCCTATTTCCTTTGCGCCTCTGTTCCCAGTAATTTCTTTACAGGGAAAAACTTTTGTCAGACGTGGGTATAGTAAAATGTGTATGTTGTGGGTATAGGTGGCATTGTGCATCTAATAAGAGAAAGTCGAAGGGTTTAAAGTGTCCAGGAGAGGGCTTATAAGGACACGCAATACTCAGAAGACGAGAGGCGATAATTATTAGGTCTGTGTATTTGTATGT